ATGCGCGTCTTCACTAAAGACACTCACTGCTCTGCAGAACCGCTCAGTCAGCATATGATCAAATCAAATGAAGTGTCCTGCAACAGTTTCATTCAGTAACGCTCCCAAAAACTCTCTATGAACATTTCTATATAGTTTGTTAAGATTAGCACTATAAGAATAGTCTAAACAGAAACATGTCCATTTGTCTCCCCCCCCAAAAAAATCATGGTAACTGAGGAATTTGCATAGATGTGCATTAAAACATGCGTCATTATGGGGGGATTTGGTCATTTTAGTCACTTTCATGCAGTGATAATCTCATCTTTAACTGCCAGGATGATTTCTGTTCATTCTTGCATGTGACAGGTTTATTTTAGGCCAGTGACGGGCCTTCAGCTCTAAAACCTGACACCAGAGAGGAGTCAGTTTCAACTCCGCTACAAGGGAAGACTGATTAGCAACATATCAGTCACCTGTGAGAAAAGAACTGAAAACTGTAAAGTTAGAAATTTTGGTAATCATTAGTCAATAAAAATATATTTTGTCAATGGAGTATCTGTACACTCACAATAACAGGGTATGTATAATTTTTTTAATAAAACTAGAGAATTTGCACATATTTGTTGTTTTTTAAGCAAGGAAATGCTCTGAAGTCAAATGAAAACCAATGAAAGGCCTCTACAGTTGGACTTTATCTGTTGCTTCAACATTTCTGTTGCTTTTATTGTCATAGATTAGAAAGATAATTCCAGAGTGAGTTAATATCTTACCTTCCAGCTTTAAAGTCCATCATTTGAAGCTTGTTTGTTAATTCCTTTTCAAGATCTTTTTCCCAAAAAACCGCTCTTGTTGAGCTGAGCCTGCACTGCTACTTTAAACCATCCCTCTCTGGCAGCTCCAGGCTGTTTCTGTTGATACCATTCCAAAACAAAATCCTCTATGTGGTCCACTGCGAGGTCTCTGAGCAATTGACCAGTGGTGGGCTGCAAGCCTCGGGGCAGGACACCAGACATAAATAGAGGAGTTGTCCCAGAGCGAGTGTCCACCATGGGGGGACAGAATGAGGGCTTGAGCTAGATTGTGGCTCTGTGAGATCCTTGGGTGTCGAGTGTCAGGTGAATGAAACAAACAGCCCCCTCAACTATTTATAAATCTGGATGACTCCTTTGGCCATCCGCGAGGCGAAATTACTGTCAGTGAACTGGGAAGTTGTTGCGACTCACTCAAGAGGTTGTGTGAGCTAAACCGATAGAAATTCGCATTTTCTGGAGATGTGTTGTTATTGTGGGGGCTCAGTGGATAGCTGCTGTGGGTGGGGTGGGAGAGTAGTTTGGGAGATATAAATAGCAGCCACCCGCTGAGTGCTTCCCTCTTCACTGAACACAGCTGAGAGACACCACAAGAAGTGTCAACAAGTGGCCCTTAGTCCCCCCCTGCCATATCACAGCCGGCCGTCATAAAAGTTTCTGCTGACTAAAAGACCACTGAAGAAATAAGACCTGCCATATTATGTTGCTAGATGAATTCTTTATTTATCCATTATTGAAGGATATTCAGCAGGTTTGTCTCAACATCAAGTCGGCAGTGGCTTTATAAAATCATCTATCCACAAATCTCTATCCATTAGACAGCAGCTTCATTCACTCAACAGAAAAGGCCATGAGGCAGAGAAGGGGAGGAACTGTACCTCCCCCTTTGACCTGCATTTCCCCCCCCCCCTTCCTACAGCATGCTGCTAAAATAGGAGATTGCTCAACCAGATAGGTCCCTGGGATGAGTGGTGGGTGCTGGGCTGGCTTCCTGGGATGATGGACACACACACATGGGCCTTAATAGAGACACACTCTTCCACTAATACAGGCACAAGCAAACACGCACACACACGGCTCGCTAAATATCAGAGGGAGCAAATTTATTAAATATTTAAATTCCTCTTTTCTATTCAACTGTCATTTTGGATATCTTTTGCTTTTTGAAATGACACAGTCTGTTTAAGAGTCCTTTAACAAACAAACATGTAGAAACTGGAATTTGGTGCTATTTGCACACAATTTTGATTTTGCCACTTTATTTATGGTCTTCACTCCAAAATATCTCGGAAATGTCAACTGAGTATTTGAGTATCTCAGTGATTCAAAATCACTTGCTAAAGAAAATCCTCAGCAATAATAAGCTCATAAATGCCCCCTTTTCCCTCTGTGGTTTGAGATTAAGAATGTGTGGGAAGACTGAAAGGATTTTCTGCTCAATTAGTCCCTCTAGTGGACATAAGTAGGAAAAGGCCTCCAGATTGATTTTTTTTAACAGAAATTCTGACTTTTTTACACATACCTCGAATCTTTACAGTATGTAAGCTTCCAGTCGAGCCTTATGGTGGTTTTATTAGGAAGCCAGTGAGCACCCAAGCATAGATGACAAATACTGATAATGCTTATCTCTGTGCTGAGTAAGGAAAAGGAGAGTTGTGGTTATGTGGCAGACAGCAGACAGCAGACAGCACATTACTAGCTGCATTAAGATATGCTTTGTTTGTATATTATCCATTCAGAGATGAGCTTAACTGATTTTAATTGATTGGGTTATTGATCAGCTCTGCTGCAGGAATTAAAAGCAGAGATATTTTAGAGGTGGGTTCCGGCTATTCAGTGGAGCCGATCTGGATGCAATTTATGTCCAACTTTGGAAACTAGGTTTAAGAATAGTAAATTTCAGGAGCTCAACCTAATACCAAGTAAGGAAGCGGGGGCGGGGGGTCTTTCTTGTGTCCGTTGTCTCTTCCACCGTGCATGCATTGTCGATATGTGTTTGTAGATGGGGGCATGACAACAGGACGTATTTTCATACATCCCGACACTAAAATATTTCATTACTCCAACAAAAGAAGCCCATTAACTGCAATGTAAGAACAGAGTTTGACTGCTGTCCCCCACATTCACCATGTTTGTCTGCTTTTCTGGCCGCTCTCCAGCTAATTTGATATAACAATGCTCTGCAAAACCACCGCAGGACTTTTTTTAGGTGACAGAAAATTATCAATGATGCCACATGCACAGCTGAATGTCAACACCAACTTGACTTGTTTATGAAATATTAAAGCAGTGAATTATGGGCCCCATGCGGAACTTAATGATGATCGGAGTCATTATAACTTCAACATCCTTTGTTTTGGCGAATGATTAAATTCTACTGCTACTGTATTCAATTTTGGAGAGACTGAATGTGTTTTTCGCATCTTTTGTATGAGGTGGCTGGATTCCGCTGGTCCATACAACCACATTTTTGGAGTAAAGCTGATTTGTATAGGGATATTGTGTTATCATCGTTATGTCAGTGGGCTTAATATCTTTCTTTCTCATTCACTTAAAACTAAATCATTATATTTGGATAGAATGTTTCTGTGAAATCATTTGGATCCGGAATAGATCCAGCACTGCTGTATAATAAACCTATGCAGTTTTATAAAACCAAATGTACCATGTTAAAATTCAAATTTGAATAGAATGTTTTATGTTAAACCAAAACATGACTGCATCAAAATGTTTTATTTCTATTTTGTGTGTGTGTATGTGTGTGTGGTCAAATATGGCCAGTAAAAGTCGTCTCAGATCAGTCCATAAAAGCGTCACTTTATTGGTATAGTTGTGAGATATTTACAACATGCTCACACAATAGCATTAAAAAAGAGAAACTCGGTGCTCTGTATACAACCTAGCACGACTTCTGACATTATCTCCCTCTTCCATGTCACCAGGGTGTCGCCTCATCAATTATTGAACCAGTACTTCATGGTAATACATAATTTCTCATCAATATTTCATGATAATGTGTGTGTAGTTTACTTAATTGTGTTATTGACTATCAAAAGTAATTTCCTGAAAATCCTCAAGGATCCAAATTGAATCAGCGGACCGACCAATGGTGTGCTCTGCGGTTAAGAATTCTCAATGTGATCAGCTGATCCTTTATTCAAGTCACTTTAGCTGGAGAGATATTTAGAAATAATAAATCAACATATGTATTGCTCCTGCTTATGTATGTGTGAAGAGTCCTGAGGAGATGAGAAATTATTCTTTTAAAAAAGTAAATACAACATTAATAACAAGCATATAGGTCACATTTGATAGGGTTTATATTTTTTTAAAAAGCTCAGAGACAGGAAGGGAGGAACAGAGAGCGTTCCTAAAAGTAAATAAATAATAAGAGTCACAACTGCTCTCCACTCCTGGCTTTAAGAGAAGCTGATAAATAATGTATCAGAACAGATGGCTGGAGCGAGAGGCAACACGAGAGGAACATGAGCGACTACATCTTTAATTGTTTTAAAAAACATGTCACAACAGGACTGATGTGTTCCCTGTCTGCTGGCGCTACAGATGTGCTAACAGAGTCGAGGGGACAACTGCTGCTCCTTTGCGTGTACGCTCCAATCAGCCTTGGGTTTACATGAGCATAAACTGCACACATTTACACTGAAAAACGGCTGATGTACGGTAAAGTGCACTTTCACTTTAAACTCAAAATAATGACATGGTTTGACCCCATCCCTGACTATCAAATGATGTAAAATTGTCTGTGCTGCCATTAGTTCAACACTCAAAAGTTTTCATGCATGAACAACAACAACGTAAGCAACAGTCCTCATAAAGAAAACAAGGTATCAAGATTATTTAAATTCACATTATCAAATAGGTGTTTGTTGCACACATGTTGCATCTATATTAGTCCATCTAATAGAGTCCAGTAGAGCGTGAAGACGGATAAAGATCCAAAACCACGGTTGTGCTTTTATAAGGGTACCGAGACCCCAATCGTTCAGCATTTTCTTACAACGATGATTTACAGTCAATTAAATATTTGAATGCTTGCATCCATACAATATGATCTCTTAAAAGTCAGTCCCGGGATAATACTGGATTCAGCCAATAATTGCGCTCAGTTGTCGTAGGAGTAGAGCGGAGAGAGGATAGCGGGCACATTCACACAGATTTCCGGTACATCCAGGGCTCAGGTCCTGCCTCTCACTTCTTCTCCAGGTTATCCTTGGTGCAATGAGGATGTTTCTCAGGACTGGCGCCCAGGATGGCGGCCTTGGTGCCCATGCCGGGGCTGGAACTGTCCACCCGTCTCACGCCGGCGCCGGGCACCTCTATCGCTGGCCTGACCACTCCGGCCGCGCCCACGCCCACGCCAGAGAGCACCCCCACGCCGGGCGCGGGTCCGGCCGCCGCGCCGAGGAGGTTGGCCGACTGCAGCACCGCCTCCGAGTGCTCGCGGGCCTTCATGCGCAGGGCGGCCACGCTGGCCGTGCGGTTGCCCTGGCAGCCGTACGGCGGCAGGAAGGACAGCCCCATGGGGTCGGACACACAGCACGAGCACAGACCGTTGCCTGGAAAATAAGAGGTTGGGTTCGTGTTGGGAGTGTTGAGGACCAGATCTCTGTTGGCGGACGGTGAGGGGGCCTGATTTACCTTTCAGTGTGGCTACTTGCGACAGGGCCTGGGCGTAGGTTGCTGAGTTCAGGAGGGTTCCTGGTATACAGGATGGGAAGAACGGACCACTGGGACCCACTGTCCTGTTAAGACTTCAGAGAGCAGACATATTTAGATATATTTAGATATTATTTTGTAAAAATCATTCATCTGACTGTTTATTCAGGGCGTTAGCAGAAATACCTTAAACTACGTAAATAAGAAATTAAATCAACTGGAAAATTTAATTAAGAATTTAAATTAAATACATCCAAATAGATATGTTGTTTGTTCTTATAATCCAGACCCAGGTATGTGATCATGTTTTCAGGCAGTCAGTAATGATGGCTTTTTTTTCTCACCTTTGCTGCATCTCAAGCGGTTCCTTCTGTTTCCGGCTCTGGTCAACGGGGGACTGAGAATTGATGCTACGAGATGGAGGAGAGCCCTCGCTCATCTGCTCTTTCCCTCCATCAGGATCTGAGCTCCCTCTTTCTGTTTTCCTCCACTTTGCTCTGCGGTTCTGAAACCAAACCTGCAAACCGAGAGAAGTGAGACATTATTTTAAACTGGTATACCACAAACAAACAAACAAACAGTTTTCACGCCTCTCAACCAAATTGTTGAATTTGTGTGCAGGACTTTTCTTCAGCATATTCCTTTGTCATATAACAAACAAGCAAATGTGGGTTGTCTGTGTCTCTCTCTGTCTAGTTAACAGGTCCAGAAAAGTTAACACGAATCAGGAAGTCTTTGAATTTTGTTGCTCTCTAATTCCCCTCAGTCCCTTACTTAACCCCAAAACTTAACGGTACACACTGCTGAGAACATATAGCCAAGTTCTAGTATCTTAATCGAATGAAGGTCACTGCCTATAACAACATTTAATTGAGCAATTTTTCATTATCATATTTTAATGACTTCCCACTGACAGTTGTGCAGCCCGAGAGAGAGGCAGCTATGATGAAGTCGTTTATTTCCCTATTTAGTGATTGTTTGACAACATCAGATTCGATTAGGACTTGGTTCTAGCAGACATTAATCATGATGTGTGAATGGAGGTTAGAGCCTGTGCGCATGTGCTCTGCATCCCTCCCATTGTACCGGGGTATAAATGATGTCAACAGCCAAACAAAACACACGCATTCATTGGACATAAAGAAAGGACAACATTTGGTGGCAGGACAACAATACAGCGAATGGACTTATCTCACCCCTGCACCTTCCAGCTAGAAGTCGCGCCCCCCTCCACGCACACCCATCTCTGAATGGGCTATAATTGCTCCATTAATCTCAATTTGCCGCGTGCTCTTAATGCAGGGGAGGCCCATTGACACTTTACAAAAAGGGGGGCAACAGCACTACAACAGAAAGGAAATTTATTTTCTAATAATAATGTAAGTTTAATATCCCTGCATACTGCGGTGGATTCATGTTCAGATTTAATAATAGGAATGTGGTAATCGGATTAGGAGGGGAATAATTTGTTTACAATCCCTAATTTACAGCGCTGGATTCCATTATCAACCCTGCCATTGGGTTTAAGCGATAGTAAGATGACCCTGGGGAACAAAAGGCAAACTATTATATTTCCCACAATTAGATCTGCGTGCACAACAAAACCCAAAAGCAAATCTGGAATGCAGGAAATTACATACAGGACACATAACTTAATTACATCTGGCCAAGTTTATAACCGCGCATATGTGCAGGGCAGCAGTGGAATATAAATTGTCAAATTTAGAATATGCGCGTGTATTTGTGTTTTGGAGTGTGTGTGGCGCAGAGTCAGAGAGAGTTGGAAGGCTTTTGACTTTTCCCCCCTCTTTTTTTTTTAATCAAACACGGTCCATTTTTCTGTAAGCGTTATGGATGATGTATCCTTGCCTCTGAGACGCGGACAAATTAGTGAAGAACATTATCGCTAGTTAATTATGAATGACCGATTAATCAAGTTAATCTAATATTCATCATTATGTTGATGTTATCAAAGTGTAACGCCGGGATGACGGAGTGGCTTCATTTAGCCTCTCTCCTCCTGCATGGTCAAACGTGCGCGGCACCTGACGCGGCAGAACGCAGCCTACCTGCACCCTGGCCTCGGTCAGGTTGATTTTCATGGCCAGCTCCTCGCGAGTGAAGACGTCAGGGTAGTGTGTCTGCGCGAAGACAGCCTCCAAAGCCTCCAGCTGCACGGACACACACACACACACACACACACACTCACAAATCAGTTAAATGAATTAAGACGATTCAGTCTTTCTTTCGTTCTTTCTGTCTGTCAGGGGCCTCACTTAAAAAACTTATTCTGGACCTAGATGTATCATGTTTGAGTAACTATAATTGTTCTGCGATTAATTTATCCTAAATATTTCCTGAATTGTCCTTTTTTTAAAAACATGATAAAAATGGAATGATTTCCTCCATTTTGGCGATAGTTTTCTCATCTTCCACTGTAAATACTTGAATTATTTCCCTTTCTTTCTTTCTTTCTTTCTTTCTTTCTTTCTTTCTTTCTTTCTTTCTTTCTTTCTTTCTTTCTTTCTTTCTTTTTTTCTTGATTGGCTATTTTCGTCGTGGTAAATTGTTACCTGTTGCAAAGTAAACGTGGTTCTGTTCCTGCGCTGCTTCCGGCGGAGAAACCCATCGTCAAAATCAGCCGGGGCGTGGTTGCCAAAACCGGTGGAATTCACTAAAGAACAACAAAGTTAAGGCATCAGTTCTCGTGTGTGACAAAAAGATTTAACAGATTTAAATTTGTTACGTTTATGAATTTATTAAGTCAGTGCCACGGGAAAAAAAAACATATATATTTATACGACTTTGAAATGGAATCCTGCAAAAAGAATAAACATATTACGCTAAATAAAAAAATATTTTATGATTCCAACTGCTACATGAAACATTGATGCCTGCAGTCTAAAGGGAACTGTGATGGAATAAGAGCCATGACACCCAGCATCTGTGCCCGGGACAAAACGCCCATTCTGCCCCGGGGCCAAACCACCAGCGCTTCTGTCCAACACGGCAGACTGACACAGCAGAGAGGAGGGGGCCGCTTAACCCTTTGCTTGCATTTGATTATCCTTTTAAAGACACGGGAGCGTTTATTAAAATGATATAAACGTTTTAGAGTAACATATTTACAAGCAAGCGAGTAGTTTTATGGACAATAAATCGTTCTATTGGGTTATGGATCAGTTGCTTTTTTAGTAGGCTAGTTGTTTTTTCTGTTTTTTGTTTTTTTTCCACTGTGGATTAGAAGTTGAATTCAATTTAAAATGTACATATTTCACAGGACGTTGATGATTTAATTTTTTTTTTAATCTTAAAATGTTTTAGAACTAAAGCGTAATCAGGCCTGTTTTCAGGAAAGCGCACATCTTGAGTCCGTGTGCGCTACAAACAAACAAACAAACAAACCAAAAACTTTTGGCATGAAAACCGAAAGCATCAATAAGAATCATATGAAACCGTATGAGCCTAAATAAAAAAATACACATATATTAGGTTAGCTCACGTGTGTTGGAGCGGCAGCACTCTCCGTCCAGCTGCGGCGGACAGTGGAAGTAGAACATCCCGGCGCGTGTCCGTGCTACGAAACTCAACCTGCAAAACACCAACAAAAGTTTCAACCGTGTCACTCTGATCTGCAGGAGGGAGGGGGAAACAAATACAAAGACGTGGAATGGCCCTGATAGGAAGTGGAGGCGCGTGAAACTTGGTGGGATTTGGTGGGGATGCGCGCATACCTGCGGTGGAGATGCTGATGAGAGGGAGTTCGCGCTCTGGAGGGAAGCGGCTGCTGTACTTCCTCTGACTCTCTGTTTGGGAGTGTCCACATCTCCCTCACTCTCCGTCTCTCTTTCTTCTGCGCGCGCACACACACACACACACATTCGCACTCGCGTACACACACACACACACACACACACAGCACTCTCTCATCTTCCTGGGTCTCTTTGGGAGTGTCCAGATGTCTTTATAACTGTATAACTGTCTGCAGAGTGTTCAGGCTTTCAGCTAGTGTCGCAGAATCTCACGCCTAATTGGTTCTAATCGGATTATCACGGCTTTGTCTTCTCACCCCCAACCCCTGGCGTGTGTGTGTGTGTGTGCGTGTGTGTGTGGTTGGGTGTTTGTCTGCAGTGTACGTGTGTTTTTCAGAGAAATACAGAAATAAAGAAAGGAGCAGAGGGGAGACATACCCAGGGTGGCAAACGGCAGCTCTGCTCAGGTGCCAAAAAAATTCATCACAAGTGATTGTTATTCCAGAGTCAAGCATATTCCCAAACCATAAACATGCACACATACCCACTGCACTTTTTATTTGGTTCTTTCATATATTAAAAAAAGGATGACTGCTTTTGGGTTTTAGATTGACTGTCGGGCGGTTTAATTGCTCGTCAGGGTGTGTTAGGGGGTCCACTTTACAAGGGGTTGCGCGTGTAGAACACTCACAAGGCCAAATTTTTGATTTTGTTCACAGCAAGGGGTCCTGCGATTTATTTCGCTTCCTCAGATAAATGATCTGCTGCGGGACCCTTTCAATTAGTTTTAAAGCGCATCTGGGACGGCAGAGCGCAGACGCCATGCGTCTCTGAGGTGGAGGCAAAATGAGGCTTCGAGAAGCAGCTGAAATTTAGAAGAGGAGTGCGGGATTGGACTAAACCACATAAAGTGCAGAAAATCCCTTCTAATGGCACGTAATTGGTTCTGTAATATCATTACAGGCGGATAATGGCCAGTTACAGGGCCCCGCGCTATTAAGGGTTTCCCTGGCGTGCAGCGTTTATGTTATTAAAGGGGGAATATAATGATATTTTAGTTATTAAATGCGCGTAATTAATTTATGCACCACTGAAAATAAAGTTGTTATTATGACCTCGGCGAAGTGCGTGGAGAAAATTGAAATCAAATAATGGTTGATAACTTTATATTTGGTCTAGACAACTCGAAGAGAAGTGCTGGCTTGGAGTGTCTATTTCCTGTCAGCGACTTTTCTTTCCCTCCTCTGATGATTGCTTCGGAGACTAAATTACATTAGTTACAATCTCATCGAACAAATAAACCTTTAACTAGGTTTTCAGGAATTTGTATTCAGCATTTGGGCCCGAACCAGCTTTCTTGAAGTCGTCTGCAGAAACAGGCTTCAGGACCCCGGTCAGCACCACTGGAGCAGCTCTCCGGATACAGAAACCATCTCTGTGGGCCTTCCTGAGGTTTTCAGCATGCACATTTAAGCTGGTCCAGAATTGCAGCATCCCATTTTATGTTAATTTAAAGAATAATACACAAATACCTTTACACGATTCCAAATAAATCAACAGCCCCTTTTATTTACCTTTGCACAAATTGAAAACATAGGAGGGAAAAGCTTTAAAAAACTTTATTGCATAAAATATATGCAAGATAATCTTTTTTTATTTTATTTAGTCTTTCATGTGCAGTTTTTAAGTAGTCCAGTCCTTAAAGCTTACCATCATACTCAAACTGTCAGTTATTACAAAAAAATCTGCTAAAGCAATTCACCTTTCAGATCGAAAGGTGAATTGTTACAAATGGCACACTACCTACATTTTTTTAAGTCGGTCACAAGAGAAGCACCTGTTCTGAGAGAAAAATAACAGTGAATGTGCATTTATCTGAGGTCATACAGTTAAAACTTTAAAAGTATAAACATGGGATTTCAAGTATTAACAGTGAAAATATGACGATGAAAAGACAGAAGCAAAGACATGTTGAAACATACAAGCAGAAAATTCAAACCAATTCACCTTGTCCCTGGAATAAGTCAGATAATTTAAAAGATCTTCTGTTTAAGTTATCTAATGGAAAATAAACAACGAACCGTATGGATTGTGTACTGCGTGGTCCTTCCACAATAAGCTTTAAGAGCTGAGTTGTTGAATTGTTCATTTTGATCAGTTTTAGACATCACAGAAATGAACAAAAAGTAAACAATTACACATAAACGAAAACAGTACAAGAATATTCTTGACGACTGGCATTTACATATGAATTATATCCGGCTTTCTATCATCTGCGTCAATCGATGTCAGCGGAAGTGCTCCTTCAGTTTCCAGATGCCCTCCTGACCAGATGTCCTGTGAAAGTCGCAGATGCTCCTGAGTAGTTCTCTGAAGACAGGCGCCTGCTTCTGGGTCAGTCTCGGTTTGAAGTACTCCAGCACTTCCTGGGTTGTGGCCTGTCCGTCCACACTTGCCTGGAAGGCTACGAAGTTGCGCAGATCCACTAAGAGCTCATCATGCTCGGTGGCTGGAGCAGGAGGAGAGCTTGTTCCTGGAGCTCCCTCCTCCGCCTCTCCCTCCTCTTCTTCCGGTCTCTGGCTGGAGGGCTTGTTGAGGTGGTTCCGGGCTCTAATCTTGGCCAGCAGGGAGGAGGAGGACAGAGGGGTGGAGTTGGAGTCATTTTCCATTCCCTCCCCACTAAAATGCGCTTCTGCCCCAGGTTTCTTTGACACCGACTTCTTTATAACTGCAGCATCCTAAAAAGAAAATAGATGAAGACATAAATGTGGGGCTAAAATTATAAAAGAAAAAAACATATACTTTAAAATCATCTTAAAATAACGAAACATTTATGACAACAATCCCGTTACCTTGCATTTGGTGGGAGTAGAGACAGGTTGAACAGATGGTGCAACTAAGAGAGAGTTCCTCTTTTGTCCGAAGCGTTTCCTAAGGGAGAAAACAAAGGCAAACCTGAGATTTTTGCCTCTCAGAAACCCAGCATCAGAGGGAGACTACTTGCCTTGCAGGGGCTGGTCTATCAAACGGCAGCCTGCACTGCTGCCGAGAAGTCTTAAGAGCTTTAAGGGCTTCTTTAGCCACCCTGTTGGCTTCTGCTTCCACAAGAACATAGTCAGGGTTGGAGGACTCCATGATGGTGTCATGTTGCATCACACTGTGGATACCTGGAGAACATCATTTGAGAAATAAAACAAGGATCGACAAACAACAAAGAATGTGCTAAATATGGCGGATGGAGTGGGTTTGCTCCAAACACCCACCAGATTTCTTGAAGAGCTTTGTCAAGACATAGTCATCTGAGTTTTTCTGGTCCTCCGTTGCATTGTCTTCACTTTCTGCCTTGTTGAAAGTCTTTTTCTTCACCAAATGAGGGATACGTTGGCCTTCAAATCGAGCATCCCGGGAGCGCTTGCGTCTTTTATGACTGTGCTTGTCCGCGTCAGCAGAGTCACAATGCTTCCTCTTTTCTCTGTGTTTCTGAGGGCTCATCAGGGCAGAGCCTCTGTTTGGGTAATAGCTAGGTAAGCTTGAGTTTGTGGCTGCTGGTTTAGCAGCATCAGAGGTACGGTTATTATTCTGTCCAGAAGGCAGTGTATTGGCTGAAACATTCGGCTGAGCTTCCACACCATTTTGGTTGATTCTATGGCTGTCCAGGAAGACATCTGAATTGCCCTCAGAGTTTTTATCACACGGGGAGGTGCTGGGATGTCTTACTGTAGAAATCTTTGTTGCTGTAATTTGCTGTAAAGGCCTTGGTCTCTCTGTTTTTTTTGGTGCTTTGACATCAGAACCTGTGCCTGTTGGAGGACAAAAAAAGAGACTGTCAAGTGTGTTCTTAGGATATAATCTTTAGAATAGTTTAATTCAATGTGCACAATAAAATGTTAAAAGAGCTCACCTGCAAATATGGCGCTGGTTTCTGTTCCCTGTGACCCATCTGGATCACACAGAGTAAAGAGCTCATATATATCATTAGACTTGAAGAAACGCCTTTGTTTAGGGTCCTTCAGAACCCGATTGGTAAGAAACTGTTTGAAGATTTGCCTGGATTACGACAGATGTAAAACAGAAATCAGATAGTGGTATGTAATTAGCAATCTTAACTAGGCAGATATTCCAAATGATTTCACCGCAGAGGAATTTAGCTAATCATTGAGAAAATCAGATAAACTCAGGTTTGAAGACAGATTCCCCCTTGTTCTTCTTACTTTCTCTTTTAAAGCACTTCATAGACACTAGCCAAACACAGCAACTGTTTAGAAGTCCTCAACTGGCCATTTAATAATGCTGGAGAGCTTTTCAATTACTGGGAGGTGGGATAGAGTGCGCAGTAATACAACACTGATGTAAGCAATTAAGTCATTACCATTAATCAAGAATGTGTAAGGTCAAAGCAATGGCAGCTAAAACGGGGGGTGAAAAGGCAATATTTTTTTCAAATCTATTTCACAACTCCATTACGGAATACAAAGTGTTCTACAGAGTGTGTACAGGGATACATAAAACAAGAGGTGTATTACCTGTGGTAGATTTTCTCTTCTATGGTGCCCGCAGTGAGAAGTCTATAAATTGTTACTTGCTGCTTTTGACCAATTCTCCACGCTCTCTCCCTTGCCTATGAGCAACATTACACTATTAGTGTGAGGAGTCATAAAAAAATGAGGAAATGTCTGGAGAATGTTTACAGTACTAAGGAGCAAGTAAACGAGTGAACTGTGTAGATAAACAGTGAGGAACAACAACTGCCAATATCTAACAGGAAAAATATTGTTAATCTATCATCACTGCTGACACATTTCTGCTGGCAGCCAATTCGTTTAGACTTAAACTACTCTAAAACCCACATGGTGAAATAAAGGATGTCTGATGACGAGTGTCGAACCTGTGTGTCGGTACTGGGGTTCCAGTCTGGGTCATAGATTATGACTCTGTTGGCTCCAGTAAGATTGACTCCCAGACCTCCAACTTTAGTGGTCAATAAGAAGATAAAAATGGATTTGTCCTGTCACAAAGAAAACCAAACACAATGGCCATCAATGACCATCATTTAGTTTCATAAAGCAACTGATTATTTGATAATCATTTTGGTATGTATGATGTTCTGGGAATTTCCAAGAGATGTTCACTACAATATTTTTCTTGTTCTTTCATTCAAAACCCTTTGGCCAATTGATGTGTAATACATAACGCATGTAGTGCTAAAATACACAGCTAAATACAGCTGTGGCAATGCTTAGTGATATTACCACTTCTAACACACCAAAGAGAAAACATCCACATTGAGCAACAGATTGCCATCAATTAGTGTCTTCACCTTAGGCTGAGCAGAGTTCCACTGAAGCATTTTGTCCCCAAGGACAAGGTTTTCATGGGAAACGCACAGGGCCATTAGGGAAAGCTAATCCTTACCTCGTTGTAGCGAGCGATGAGTGGCTGTCGGGAAGCTATTGTGGTTGTGCCGTCCATTTTTAGGTAGGAGTAGTTTTTCCCCATTATGAACACCTCGAAGATTTCCAGCATCTGGAAAGGAGGGAAAATGATTACGACTAAAGTGAAACACAAAGAAAAGCAAAAACGGTGTGAAAGAGGGACAGAGGTTTGGATTAGCTCTAAAAGGATTAGAACAGATTAATATTACATGGACAGAGATACCGACAGGGAAGGTCTCAGGTTCCCTCTGAGGTATAATCTCATTGGTATTGACTGCAACAGCTGGGGCCTCTATCACAGATACACACTGTGCTGTCTCTCACCTATTCACGCCTGCAGATGCTAAATCTTAAAGACACATGGGCCATAACTAACCGGCACCAAATTCACTAAGTGAATGCACATTTTGGGATGTATAATTGAAACAGAGAATAACTGACATGACAAAAACAGATCCCTCAGAAAATGGCCAATGTGTCTGGAAGTGATCGGATAATCAGATCACTGTTTTCCTTACCTGTCTAGACTGAGTGAAGAGGAGGACTCTGTGGCCCTGTTTGAACCAGAGGCGCAGCAGGGACTCCACCACCATCAGTTTGCCCGAGCGCTTCCAAAAGCCAAAGTGTTCCTCCTCTGTTAGCTGCTGCTCTGGGATTCCCCTCAGTATCTTTGGTCCCCCTGAGAAAAGGTCCGGGTGGTTGCAGATCTTACGCAGTGCGATCAAACCTGAGAATACCTAAACGGCAGGAAGAGGAAAAAGGAATGGAGACTCTCAAACAGAAAATATCCTCTTCATAAACACTAAACTGTAAGCGTAACCGATAGAAGGCATATGCACACGATACCCAAATTTGTAGCATGGTGCTTTTAAACAAACAAGCACATTTACTTTAGTCTACAGGAATGAATAACATAATTTATTTACGGACAATAGAGGCCGTTTCATGATGCGGGCCCAATGGTCGCTGCATTAGTAATGCTGGTTAATGGACTGAGAGTGACCACTGAATACATCTATAAGGGAGTGTGTTTGGATGCGCAATCTGGTCACCCGTGGCTCTTCAACCACGTCCATTTGGTCAGTGGTGATAAATGGTAGGCTCTCCCACTCGCTTTCAGGAGTTTGCCTAAGGTGAAAATAAGTGTACAACTTCTTAGAGAGAGAAAATGCTTTTGCTGTTTAAGGTTTAATAACATTTTGGTGGGGAAAGGCACCAATCCCTAAAAAGGTGGTGATCTTTGACTGGACAAAAGTTCATAAAAGTACACTGGAACCCTTTTGAATGAGATACATCAAGTGAAATTCTTCTTAAATGTGGTTAAATAATGAATAAGGCAAGCCTTGTTCCTGGAAACCCTTTTGGCCAGTGAGCTGACCTCCTCATCAGTTCAATGTGTGGAAGGAAAAAGAGCCTCAATGGAGAAGTAAAAAAAACAAAAAACAAACACAAATACACTGCAAATATAATTTACCTGCATGTCTCCGTTTAGTATTTGATAGACCTCTTTGGAATCTAAGAAGCTCTGATACACCTGCCGCTGCTCCTCTGTTAGTCTGCAGAACAGCACCTACACACACACCAGACAGAATGGAGTGTGAGGGATTGTACAGGCAGCGAACATCCACTTAATAGCCTCCAGATGAAGTGAGTGTGAAGCGAAATTAGAGGGAAGCAGTGCGTTTTTTGAAGCAAACGCTGTCCCGAGGGACTGATTTAATGAGCTGAAGTGGACAAGAGAGTCAACCATCGTCAGCAATGAGGACAGACCAGAGACCAGCCACTTTAATGAATACCAACTGCTTTTACTTTACTGGGAATTCATTAGTTGGGTTCACCTGACAATGGCATACACAGTGGCCTACACATTCATCAAACACAGGCACATCAAATCAGATGGAAAAGTTCACAGTTCAAAGACCCAGACATACCTGTTCATTTTTGTCAGGTAAGGAGAGGTTGGCCTTGACATCTGCCTTCATTCTTCTAAGCAGGTATGGATTTATGGTGTCTCTCAGCACACATGCACATTTAAACGCCGTCTGCACCTACATATTGACAAGAGTTCAATCTTAGAGGATAAAGGAACACATTGGTGCACACACCTGGTTCAGTGTTGATGCTGCCAGAGGCATCACTCTATGATCCCTCCCACCCTCCCGCATGCTGCTGTCCCTCTCAACACGGCCAGCCATTAAACATTGATCAGAGTGCTGATGATCTCAAGGGGCAGAGCCCTCTTCTTTCATCAGTTCAACTGAACAGCTCCACTACAAAACAGAGGGGGGAGTTTGAGAAACACTGGGTCCCACCCCATAACAGCAGCCCCACTGCAAATGGCCTGCTCCACTTTATCTAAAGCTAGTACTAAAAGCCAGTTAGGCTTTTAAACATTAACTCACTGGGATCCACAGGGGGATCAAAGACACCATTGGCAATGCTAGAGGGGACAATAAAATAGTGGGATCTAGGGCTAAATGGAGGTCAAGGGTGGGAGAGGAGTGCAGTATAGGATCTAGTAATCTCAGTACAAGCTGCTGAGTGGATTCACTTGGGGGTGCAAATGCAGCTTCAGTAATGGATCCAATATCCACACGCTCATCAAGCCCCACCCAAAAGGCATACCTTTTCACATACATTCATTTGTATATACGTGCTCTTTATGCATCATCTGAGAGCCTGCTCTGCTGCTTTGAGAATTTCAAGATCACAACAAGGCAGCAGAGCTTTACCTTCTCTGACCATTTAATAACATTAATAATTAGTAAAGGTTTTTATTATCGACAGCGGAAGAAGCATCAATAGCCAGCTTAAATAATTAAATCTATACAGTCAGTGGGTTATTAACGATCGGACACTAATGACAGAGGGCTACAATTTAGCTCCCGGCTCTTTCTTTTAGCTTCTTCCTCTCTCACACATTAAGAAAGAAGTGAAGTTCTACTGTTTGGATAGACATTATCTGCCCTGCACCAAATGGCTCTGTTGTCCCTGATCTCTTCTCACAGTATTAAAATTGTGCAGACATGAATGTGTTGGCCCTTTGTCACTTCAGGATAAGGAAAATCTTGATTAGTCTGTGTGGCTGATCACATACCTGGACAGGTGAGGCATTGCTGTAACCCCCCATGGTAATTGGCACAGAGAACTGCTCCATAAAGACTGGCAAAGTCCCGAGTTTACCAGGGAAAACAAAGTCAAACAGAGACCACAGCTCCTTCAAGTTATTCTGCATAGGTGAGCCAGACAGGATGAACCTGTGAGGAGTGCGAAACTGCAGGGAAGAACACGAGAACATTAGGTTCATATTGTAATAAAATAATTACTGGAGTAAAAATGCAAGTCTATTTGAAGAGAAAATGCTAAAATGGTACCATGGGAAAGAAAGCAATGCCAAGGTAAATGTAATAATCAATTAACTAATTGTGGGTAAAAAAAATATAGTGGACAGTACCTGTTTGCAGGCAGTGGTAACTCCAGCATTAGGATTCCTTATCTTATGGCCCTCATCCAGTATAATGTAGTGCCAGTCATAGCGCTGTAGGATGTCCTGCAAATTTCTGACGGCTGAATATGAAGTGATGAGAATACCATGGCAAGACGCTATCTCTGGTATCAGCTTTTCCTACAATGCAGGAAAAAAAATGTATATCATTCAAGATTTAATTTCGATGTCCACGTGTTCCGTAACTGACAGAGCAACATTTCTCAAAGTGGTTAGTGAGGACAGGAGGCAGCGACAAGGGTAACATATGTCAATGTATAAACAGACCTCTAGTGCCCCCCAGAGGGAAAAAGGTTATTTTGGGCTTAGATTAAAGATATAAATACACAAAATATTATTACCTTATTGCTGGTGAAGGAGCCAGTTTCATGAAGAACTGCCACTCGGAATAGAGGCCACCAAGAGTGAAACTCTTTCACCCACTGGTGCATGACAGTAGCTGGGCACACGATAACAGTTGGACCTAAACCAACGTACCTGCAACCAAAGGCACAGAACAAATGTGTTAAAAAATCAGACAAAAAAGGAGCTCTAAATTTAGTGCATTTAGTAAAACATCCAAATCTGAGACAATAATAAAAGGCTAAAAGGAATATTCTTGGAATATTTGTGTTGCATTAAGTATAAAGGTGTCACAGCGTACTGAGAATATCTGTACCTCAGTCTCTCTGTACTTATGCAATCAACCTGTGACTACAGCGTGAATCACAGTAAGTGCAGTGATATATCTTTAGCCCCTCTGAGAAGATCCACAAAAACTTTGCAAGACGCACACACAGTCACGCAGAAAGATGCACTAATGGGCTAGTATAAACTTCTGCCTGGTGGAAGCTATTGATACTGGGCCATAATTGAGTTTGCAAGCAATCAATTTGTGGGCGTCTATAGCAGACAGAGTATTGACCATCGGGAGAGCTCCACCCACTAAATGCACACGTTGCTCATTCAGATAAACCACATTGTCATCAGCACTGCCTGGTATTTTCTGTGACTGATTGGTCGCCCTAGACCTGGTCCACCCCTAACGTGTGACTCTGAAGTCACTTTTAAGTCTGCAGAAAAGCAACAACATCATCTTACTCAAACACTCACGGAGTGTCAGGGTTTTCTTTGATGTCTGCTGTAAGAAAGTGAAGACTCGGATAATTGAAACATGCTTAATAATTCAGAAGAACACTCTCAGGCAGAAATCCCCCTGATCAAATATTCATACCATACAGACACACAGTCTCTGGACACAGTTTGTGTGTGTTTATCTTTGTGTGTGTATACCTATAGTTGGATCCTCTGGTCCTCAGTTTGCTGTAGCTCAGTCCAGCCAGAAAGCAGATGACCTCAATGGTTTTACCCAATCCCATCTCATCCCCCAGGATGCCACCTGCCTGCTGACAGTGAAGTTCCCACATCCACCGCACACCTGTCTGCTGGTATCTAAAGAAAATGGCAAAAACATTTACACAATCTCTGTTTAAATGTACAGATGGAAAAGAGTACCATTAAATTACAACATTTGGACTCTAATCTGCCTCAATTATTCTTACTGTTACGTCTTCACGCTAGGGAAATGACATAATCGTAACTGGCCAGAGAAACCATCAGATGGAATGGTAAGAAGAATTATCCCACAATTATTAAATATGTGCAAATTAGCACATAAGTGGTAAATCATGGTGCTTATAAATCCAATATATCAAGTAAAACCCAAGAAGCATGCCAATTATTTTCGACATGTTAAAAAACTAAATATTGTGCAAATAATTTTATTTCGGCTAATTCTTAATCAAAATCTATTATTTGGATTTAACTTACTTGTAAAGTTTTTTCCAGAGGAAACCGGGAACTTTGAAGCCTTCGTCAAATTCTGCATCGCTGTCATCTGTAAGCTCCTCCCCTCTCTCTCTTTTCTCCTCCCGCTCTCTGAGACGCTGCCGCTTCCATCTCCTGGGAGACAATGAGTAAATACTGATGACACATCTGCACACACACACATGGCAGGATGAATCTGCTGTTGTTTGTAACAAGGCTGTGTAGGGATATAATAAAACATGCTTCATCAGGGCTTTAAGTATAACATAGAGGAATTAACAGCTGGTGCTTTCACACTGCTCAGTAAAAGAAGCTATGGGAAAAATAGGTGTATCAACAGAACCCTTTTATTTTGGAATATTCTGTGTTTTTGTTAAAAGACTTAGCTGCTAGCCTCTGCAAACTGGTATTAGCTCAGCTCCATGCTGCCTCAAACAGGACAACTGAGGCAGAAGAATAAACTAACAGATTTTACATGTGCTTTCCTAAATTTAAGCTTTGTATACACAAGCAAGTGGTATGAAGAGGTCCCGAGTTGTGGCTACTTCCCTAGAGCAGCAGGACATCTATAGCAAAAATGTCAATGTAAAGAGAACAGTTTTAACAGCACATGAGAGAGGGCAGTTAGAGCCACATTCATCAGATAGCAAATGAAGATTGATACAGACAATTAGGAGTGTGAGTTCCCAAGAAAGGTGTGAGGTGCAGAGGATAAGAATCCATCTTCATTTGGGTCTGGTCCTGTCACCCTGCCACACAACTGGTCCTTTAGCTGGGCCTGAGAGACCACACTCTCTAATTAAGTCAGGACTAAGCATTGGTTCAGTTAATTACACTTTTCTGCCCCCACTCCACCTCCAAACCCAAGTCGAAACACAGCCTGCTCTAATAACATAATTGTTCACATAAGCCAGCATCGCCATCCATGTCATGTCTATGCTGTTGAATTGACATTCAGTCACCACAGTGTAGAGAAAGGACACACGTCAACACAATTTATTTGGCAGCTATAAATATGAAATCTCATTAGGACTGTTCTTCCATTAATTTGAGCATTAGAGTGAGTGAGTGTATAAGACCATGTGCAGGAGGATAATTAGGCCAGACTGAGAGCAGAAGAACAGGGAATGAATTTGCTTAGTCAAGAAACAGCTGCCAATCTCATCTGGGATTAACTCTCTTTCTGCACTGTGGAGGAAGCACGAAGCCAATGCTTTTCTCTTAAGTAATGCAAAGAACAATAGACCATTTGCACCATCCACATAGCAAATGTTAGCACACAATAAAGGCTCAATCTGGTGTCTGTGGAGCATTTACAGGAGCTGGTTTCTGACCACCCGACCGTCAACCTAAATGAAAGAATATGTCAACAGTGAAGGGATCTCACCTTATTCGCTGCCTGTAATACTCCACATCTCCATCATCTTTGAATTTTTTAGCTTTCCCCTTATCATCCCTCTCTTCATCTGAACTCCCAGGACAGTACTCTTCCTCACTGTCTTTCTTCTTCGCTTTCCTCCCCCGTCTTCCCTCAGATTTTCTCTTGTAGGGCTTCAACTCATATTCATTGTCATCATCCTCCCCATAGCCCTCTTCCATGGCCTCTCTCTCCTCTTGATCAGGATCTATTCCCTCATCACTTGGCAAGTACTCCGACCCTTCGCTGTCCGATTCGTCTCCCTCAATGTGTCTCTTCCTCCTTGGCTTTGGGGGGATTGGCTCAGCCTTTGGCCGAGCCTTGGGATGGGCCTTCAGAGCAGTTATCTGCAGCTTTCTCATACGTTTCTTCATTTTTTTATCCTTGGAGGAGAGACGCTTCTCACTTTTACTCCTGGTCCCCTCATTGGAGCTGAGAGCAGAGGATCTCTTCTTCTTCAGAAGAGGTAACTTCTTCCTCTCAGTAGCCATCTTGGCCTGGTCTGCCAGATACTCGTCAAAGGCGGAGTTCTCCGCCAGCATCAATTTTCTAGGCTCCTTCTTGACCTCTTTCTGTTGTATTCGTGTTCCAAAAGGAGTCATGTGGCCTTTCCTTATTAGCTCCTCCCATTCAGTCTCCTGAGCTGGCATGAGCATGCTGCCCAGCGTGGACGGCCCAGGTTCCTCTAAAAACATACAAATGCAGAGTCAGATGCAGAAGCTATCAATCAGTTTCTTAACCACCAGTTGTAAGCTACACATTTAGAAAATATCTCACTATCGTGGTCATTGTTAGCCTCTTTATTAAACAATTCACTGCATCCTAGCCCTAACCTTGAAAATCCTGTTCACACAATGTACAGGAAATTTGTAAAAACAGTTAAAAACACTTGAAAATTACTACAACATCATGGAAATTAGGAAAAGTTTAAGATAAATTTGCCTACATTAGAGTATTGATAGATAAAATATACAAAAATTAGGAATCTGGTTCTTGTTGAAGTTTCTGGCTGTATTAAATAGTGTGATTTTCTTTTACATGAAACTATTAAACATGAATTATTTATTGACTAATTGGTACATATTCCAGCCAGAATGTACATTTGTTTTAGCCATAGATGCATATATAAAATGTTTTGTCAATTCATACATAGAAAAAAATGGATAAAACAGACAATACCTTCTTCTTCACCATCTTCTGCCAAATGTTCGGCTTCCACTCTGAGAGTGTCCTCCCCACCCAGAATGGCCTGAAGTCGCTTCTGTTTCGCCCTAACCTTTTTCAGCTGTTTTTCCTGAATATGAAAAATATTCTATCATACCAGTCGCTTTTTTGATTGCTCTTTCTGTATCATTATTGATTTGAAGGTTTATAATAAATACAGTACTTTACCTTATTTTCTTTCTGCCGTTTGACAGATTCTATCTTCCTACTTATGTCTTTGCTGGATGCTGCGTAAGGAGACAGCTGCTCGATAATCTTGTTGATTTGTTTCAGAGAAGCTGTAACGGACCTGAAATGAAAAATAGTCAAAGCAACATGAGTGATGCAAGGTCTGTTGCAAATACAAAATAAATAAATACAAAATTCAGATGGTTGAAACATATACAGCAATTGGTGTCCGTTACCTGACGTCATCCAGCACAGACTGGTACTCCTTCTCAGCCTCGACTTTAGCAGCGGCCTGGCTAGCTTCCTGGATGGCCTCGTCCACTTGCTGCAGAACCCCTTGCTCCAGCACCTCCTGGTCATACACAGCCACGCCGAGGCCCTCCAGTTCATGAGCTCCTGAACTGGCAGATGCTGCCTGGATGCGAAGTCGATCAATCTGCAGCAAGGCCCCTGACCTCTTGCCAGCTAAAAGGGCCACAGAAAGCTCCGCGTTAAATGACTGTGTATTTGTCATAGCTCATCCTGTAAGATGTGAGTTTTTATTTTAATTATATGTTCTCTCAGAATGTGCGGTTTAGCTCACCATTGTTGCTCTCCTCCGGTCCTGTGTTGGCAGGATAGGCTGCAGCTGCCTCAGAGCCATGGCTGTTTTCGGGGAAGGTGCAGACCGCTGAGCCCCGTGCAGCTCCATCCTCCTCAGACCCCCCTGGGGTGAGAGCGGCACTGGCCGGGCTGGAGAAGGAGAAGGAGGAGGAGGAGGCCTGGTGCTCTGCACCTTCTACAGGCATTGCGATGCAGCTGCCGGAGTCATTGAGATGTCAATCACACATTTAGACAAAGGTCTCCTTAAAAATATCAATGGACAAACCATGAGCTTCACACAAAAATACAGAATACAAGGAGGAACCATTTTATCATATAATAATGTATAATAATGTAAAGTTATGTCGACTATGAACATCGTTAGTAAACGCTATTATGACTTTAAGACAAAAAACTACACAATAACCGTTACTCGTTCATAGCCAATTATTTCTAAGTGAGCGTAAATAAGAAGCGACTAATGTCAGAAGACTGTAAAAGAAATACACAAAAACATAGACACTTATAAAACCAACAACAAGCTGAAAGCAACGTGCCATTCTTTCACAGTCGTTCATTGTTTACGTGGCTACGCTAACCTGCTAAGCTAACACAGAGCGGAGCATCATCAGCTGTTCGGCTTTAGGGACAACGGGCACACCTCCTTCGATTAAACTACCATACATTTGCTTCATGGAGATTTAAACTATCACAGCATAACTCTCTGAAATCCACACAACAAATAAACTAATGAAGCAAAACAAATTAAATCACTTACAACGCGTTCAGTTACACAACATCACTAGCTTGAGTTATGTCATGTTGCCTTCCAGCCTTGGACCAAATTTCCGGGTTCTACAAGTCGTTTCAGTTCAACTGTCCCCATGGAGGACAGCGCCCTCTGCTGGCCACTGGCTCAGAGACACTTGACCTTTAGATGGCGCAATAAAACCATATATTATTTCAAAACCAACACGAGGAGTATGGGGGTGTGAAGCTAATTCTTTGTTCTTACTCATTATATTAAGTGAGGAATCAGCAGCTTAGCAGGCATTGAATGAAACGTTGGTTTGATAAATGTTTTATCTCAAACCATAATTTACTTTAAATTCCTTTTAAATTCCCTGCAAAGCAAAAGAGTATTTTTTGCAAACATCTCATGAGTCTTACATTACACATGGCAAGTGTTTGTGTCTCAGAGGAAGTTTATTTCCAGTCCCTTGCAAAAATAAATACAGGACTTAATTAAAATATCCTCTCAGGCTTGTACCATAATGCCAACGCAAAATAAAGTCATTTTTCCAGATTGTGTTATCTGTGTAAGCAAATATTTCTAAACGGGGTAGATATTGCTGCTGACCCTGGCTCATCAGTGTACATATGAAGGAACACTGGTCTATTTTTAATATTTTACTGCTAAATGTGGGTCACCCTCAGCTAAATCTCTGGAGATACTGCTGAGAATTAGAATCTATAAATTACTGAAACTAATCAAAAATGCCTTTGTGAGCCTTTGTAGTTTCATTCGTAGAATACCTACAATATGCAGAGCTCTAATCAGGTAAACCAAATACATCGCTGGGTTTCTTCCAGATGCTAGATATAAAAGGCTACAGATGGGAGTCAGAATAAGTTAAACAAACTGTCAAGCTCTTGATAAATCACCTATGACGGGAATTAATGAACAGATTCATTCACACAATGTTGTGACTGTGAGGTTGAGTTGCAGCCAGGAATGTATGTAAACCGCTGCAAACGTTCAATCTTTTATATATTTAGTCAGTGCTTGACAACTTTTATCTCTGATGAGGACAGGATAATATTTATGCATCAGCCGTGTTTGCTTCACATCATAATTTAGGTCGAGTTCAGTTGGTTAAAGAAAGCTGACAGACCACACCAGGCTATAGGATTTAGTGGGTGAAGCTCTTCATCTAAACTTTATGCTCATTTGTTAGCAACTCCCGCTTTTCTGTATGCATGAGGTTTGTAGATTTATAGGGTGTGGGTGGACAGAGCCCAAATCCCGGAGAGTGCAGTGGTTCACTGTTAAAACTGCTACCCTGTGCTGCTTTGGATCATAACCGTACAATAACAAACACAGCAAGATTTAAGGAGGATGCTGTCAGTTTAAGTTGTGTAAAGCATGGTGTGCTTGGGTTATTGGACATGCACATGCAATACTGTGCCCTCTAGCTTTCCTGTGCTGCAGCAAGAATGATGTAGTTCTTCGGCTGTTATCTCGGCCATGCTGTCCTCCTCACTTTGATAACATAGCTTTAGTTTATATGGCCTTCATCAACCACCTGGGAATACACAAGTATCTAGAAGATTTAATCATTTTTCAAGAATTTCAGACAGGGCAGAAGCAGTGCAGTATTTTGCCTAAATTCCACACCTTTTTCAAGTCTAAATTCTACTGTATGTTTCCCAAGGATACTTCACAAGACTGGTGCTTCAACTGCCGATTTCAGTGAACAGTTCTTTCACGAGTTGAGATCAAACCTTTCCACAAAATGGCATATGTACCTTGATCTGACAGCTGTGTTTGCAAGTTGCATATTTTCTTCACCTGTGTCTGAATTTTCGTGTCTGTGAGCAATTTTATTTCTAAATAGTTTTGTGGTCAGTAAATTGTGGTCCTGTGATGAAGTCAAATTAAAATGTTCCATGTGGTCCTTCTCTCCCTCAAAACCAAAATGCAAAATTTCTTCTATTCTTTTCACCATGACAAATTCCTACACACAAGGCTGTTTTGTGTGCCTCACACATCATTTGGCACTATTTTCTTCTTAGAGAGATTCATTACAGTAAACACAGTTGCTTGGCATAAATATTAGAGAACTGTTTCTTTTTCATTCTGTCAATAAAACATGCATCCAGTTTACCTCCCTTGTCTAAAACATGACATAATTGTGGGTACAAAAGCATTTACAGACTGTATAGAACACAGCAGGTGGATAACTGTAGCCTGTAATTCTATTTGATAAAAGCCTAAAGAACGACTTTTTCAAAGCTAGCATGTCTTTACCTCTTGACCTAACCCTTACTATCACAACTAAGTACTACACTTGAGGTAACCTCTGGGATCTGAAACAATTTGAAGGTTTGTGAGGGGATGAGGATAAAGTATCTCTACTTTTCCAACATGTCTTCCAGCCATTTCCAGCATCGGCCTGATAGTATTCTTAAATTAAACTAACTAATCTACTCTAATACCCACTCAAGCCTTATTTGTATCATGCTTTGATCTTTGTGAACACTACGACATTGATCCCAAAATGGTCAGAAATATGTGTCTAGATAACAACACATACATACCATCACACACAGGTTGAGAGATCGTTGCATTTCTTTGATTTCCTATACAGATAAATGGGGTTTGAATATGCGCTTTAGGCTTTAAGTGGGAAAATCATAGGGACCATGATGTTCTCTAAAGCTTTAAACTGGTTAATAAATCAACATGAGTAAAGCACCATCGTGTCTGCATTCATGTGTATTCAACCCACACTGTACTCAACACATGTGTGGCCATATTGGCAAGGCTAATGTGTCCCATGTGTTCTCTTGTCCCACTTAATGCATGTCTGATTGTGTGTCTGACAGTAATTACAGGGGTGGGCTGGGTTTTAATCCGGGTGCATCAGACCACTACCATGCTGCTGCAGATCCCCAATTCATCTGCTTGTGGTTTCACTCAGTTGCAGGCATGTGTTTGTGTATGCAAATAACCATTTAATATCTGTTCACTAATCAGCTCCTGTAAATGTACAACTATATGGTTTAGAACTAGTAGAAAAGTTGAGTGTTGAGCAACAAAGTTTGAACATTCATTTTCTGTGATAGGTTTTTTCAGTCATCACCAAAGAGCACTCAGCTGCAGGCAAACTGGTTCTGATGTACACGCTACATCTCTATTCTTTCCAGGTCAGCTTGTGTCAACGGATTACTGGGAGTTCACACAGAGCTGTATATTTAGCAGACCTCAAACACAACTGGGAGAAACCACAAGAAGACGAAACAGAATGAGGCCTGTGTGGTGCAGTGATATGTCACTTGAAACCACCGGAGTCTTTAGTTCAGACTACTTCTTACAAACACATATTCCTGTGTGAGTGCCTTTGTATTTCAGTGTGTGACCGCCTGGGTATTCATACCTTGCTAATTATAAACTACTTTCTTTATTGTGGCTTCAAGGACTCAAATATGTGATAGATGAGAACCACAACAATGTAGTCAGGACTTGTGACGCTATACAGTGGCAGGGGTGCCACTGCCAGAGCGTGGCCTGAAACGAGAGCTGAAGCAGGCAAAAGAAATACCATACCCAATGGGTAGAGTTCTGACCTCTGAACTGAGGCTGATTATGATTTTTGTAGTGTCCATTTATTCCACATATTGTTAAAACGTGGAAAAAAAACATGGATTTGCAGTTATCACCCTGATGACAGATGCACCAACATGTGAGCCTGTTTAAACAGCAGTTTATCTGTCAAGTCTTAGAGCAGATACAGGGGTTGCTGAATGGACAGCCAGTTCAGTGTAAACTTCCATCAACAGGAACAAGTTTTGTTTTATCTGCCTGTTGTTGAGATTGAGTTATTACCGTCACATGCACTGTTGCACCACAGGGAGAGAAAAAAATGTCTTTGTCAACATACATGTTTAATAAGTTATAGTCAGTTGTGAAATTTTAGTGTAGATTAATCCAAATAAACCCCTGACGTGTCCCTGATGCTGTATATCTGTGTGGGAGTGTATATATCTCATTTGCATGCGTTTTTATGTCATGAAACTCTATGGCATTGTTATTGAGAAATAACATATGATGAGCCCCAAAGAGAACATTTCTTAAGGCACACAAATATCAAAATTTGAGATTATTCAGTACTGAAAAGTTCTGTCTCCAAAATTTGGTCCCATCAAAATTTAGCTGTGATTTCGAAGCCTGGAGTCATTCCATACAATTTGTGGCACAGTACCGTGCCCTACATAGGTTTCATACCACTGTGATCACATGGGATAGAGCACAAAAAACTTCTTGAACAGTCCCATTGTTTGTTTGTTTATTTATTCTCTTGGTCCAATCTAAAACATGTGTGCCAACATTATGAATGCATTCTTAACACTTAGAGCCATGAGTGTGGGTCTCTGCACCCCAGATATATTATCCACGGGGAAATTCAAAAGCATTACAACAGAT